CCTGCCTCTGCCTCCCGAGTGTTGGGATTAAAGGCATGTGCACCACTGCCACCGCTGCTGCTACCACTGCCACCGAAGCCACCCTGCTTGAAGTTTATTTTTTGAGGGGCAATGAGATACCTCAGTAGGTAAAGGCACTTGCATGTGCAAGCCTGTTGACCTGAGTTTGATCCCTGGAAACCATATAAAGGCAAAAGGAGAGAACTCCATAGTGCTGTCCATTGACATCAATACTACATGTAACATGGCACATACATTCACGTATACACATCATGCACACACATACTCAACAGCGTATTTAATCTGTTTTGTTCACACTATCCCCAGCCTAAGCACATTCTCATCACTACATGCTTGGCTTCTTGGTCTGTTCCATTAACTTCCTAAATGAGCCCCTAACTCCAGTTTCTCTTCTCTTCAATTTATTTATCCACAGTTGCACATTCCGTCTAAAATTTCTGGCTGATTTGTGCTTTAGTGTACAAAGGTTTTCTGTTTCCCTTGTTCCTCTAAGGATCAAGTACAAACTCCCTACTTACTGGCATCAAAGCCCTGATGCCCAGTCCTAATTAACTGGTGGAACCATTTCCCACCATTTCTTCTGTACTTCAGACATCTTGAATGTAGTAATTCCATGTTGTAGGGCCCGCCTGCTCTATGCATTGTGGGTAGCTTAGCAGCATTCCTATCCTCCTTCCAGGTAGCCCAACATGTACCCAGGCATGGTCAGGTGTCCCCAGCTGAGAACTACTGCCATTCATGTACCATATGCACCAACCCAATTGAATGGCTTGCTCAGCCTTCCTCTTTGCACCTACCCTCGTCTCCCTGGTTCCTAACTGATTATTCTATAATTGTAACTATCAACTCCCACCAATATGTCAAAGACTAGTTGAAAGGAACCTTCCAGTGACTCACCTCTTCCTGTCACTAGTTGTGACCTTCTCCTGTACAAATGGGAGAGCAGCATCCAGAGTGTTGGTGCTGGAATCCCATGGTGGGTATCATCGGTAGGTGGGAAGAAGAGGTAGGGTGAGTCCTGTCTGCAGTGTTCTTTTTCTCAGGGATGGTGATTGAAAGTGGGGCCTCATGCATGCAGCTCACATACTGAATCATTAAGTCACACATCCAGCCCCACACTGATTTTCTAAGTTCTGCATTAAGCATGTCATTTTTGTGACTGAAAGCAAAATGCCACTGGAAAAGATATTTAGCAGTTAGTTAAAGGTTTTGCGGGATGCAAGGTAGGATTTTGTTGAGCTTGTCTTTGTAGGAAATGAGACACTGTTAGGAGGCAGAGGAGAAGAGGTAGTGGGGAAGACAGACAGTGATCAAAGTCACAATTTAGTGACAGGCAGCCAAGCTGAGTAATTCAAACATTTTTTTTTATATGCAAAGAAGTGTCAATGGTGAATACAGACAGTGAATAAGATGCCTCCTAGCCAGATGTCTCATGCCCTTTCAACTGCAGACCAAGTTTTTAGTAAGTGAGTACCTGTACAAAGTCTCAGTTGAGGGCCGCTCATATGACCTATGAGTGATCAACCATACTTTCTCTCCTTCAGCTTCCTGGAAAGAAGGATTTGTTCATTGAGGCAGATCTCATGAGCCCTTTGGATCGAATTGCTAATGTCTCCATCCTAAAGGTACCAGCCCTTTTCTCAGGGAAGTCCTGCCCTCCATTCCCCTTTAAGCATTTTTTCTGTTGACGAGCATAACCAATTTCTGAAGGGTGATGCCCTTGACAGGGTAAAGGCAAGTCAGCTCACCTGGGCAGGCAAGCAGGGGACTGATGATGAGGTTTGTGTTATGTTTTGCATTTGTTTTTTCCATTGACCGTAAGGAAGAATGGGATGGTTATTGGGATGGTTATCAGTGGATCAGATTGTTTTCTAGGATTAAACATTCAAATATCTTTGTGTCATGCTTGGGCTTTTCCAACTTTTCTGTCCATTGTCCTGGATTCTCTCTGTAGCAACATGAAGTAGACAAGCTGTACAAGGTGGAGAACAAGCCGGCCCTCAGCTCCAATGAACAGTGAGTGTCTGGGAGTCTCTGTGGCCTCCATGCTGGAGGAGGTCCCTAGGTGTATATTTGCCCTGCTTTGTCCATGCCTGAGATCTACAACCACAGTGCCTGTTATGTGGCCCAGTTCCCTGAATGTTGACAATATCATGGGCAGATTGTTAGTCTTCCTTACTGCAGTTTCTCCCACTCTGTCCTCTTCCCTCCTTCCTCCATGCTATTATCTATAGCTAGAATTATTTCTTTGTTATCCTGCTGTCTAACACCTGCAGAGGCAGCTGGAGGATGGCTCAGCTTCAGGAAGTGGGTAAAGCACTTGCTGGGAAAGTCCAGTAATCTGAGTTCAGTCTCTGGAGCCCATGGAAGGGTAGAAGGAGATAATCCACTTCACAGAATTATCCTCTGACTTCTGCACGTGGACCTGCATTCACACATACACAACAGCAATGAATAGATAATAAATAGAGTCTCCAGGATCGATGAGATGGCTTAGTAGGTAAAGATATTTGCCGCCATGCCTACCACACAACATGAGTTTCACCCACATAGGGGAAGAAGAGAACCTTCTCCCACAGGTTGTCCTCTGACCTCCACAACACAAGCTGTAGTACATGTACACACAGACAGACACACAGACACACACACACAAATAAATAAGTAAATGTTAAAAGGAAAACACTTCCAAGACTTCACATTAATTACTGGATACTGTAGTCCAGTTGAGCATCCTAAGTTTCAAGGCCTTGATGCTATCCATATAGTCTTGTTCCTCATATGTCCTTTCAAGCCTCTGTTGACATTGCTTCCACACATATTACATATATTTTGGGTTTTTTTT